GCTTCCAAAACATTTTCTTTCAGTCGGCTCCTGACATCAGCCAAAACCCTTTTACCTGCACTAAAAACAGATTCCGAAGCAACAGTGCTAACCGGAGGTGTCAATAGATCTTTCGCAATTGTAGAAACAATTGCCCAACGTCTTTCATACTTTCGCTAGAATTCAATTATTTCTTCTGAAGTTTTTTTAATTATTCTGTCTGTTGGCATATTATGATTGAAATAATCAATTAATTCGACAGACATCGCATTTTGAGTTTCGATCGATATTTGATGAGATGCAGATGTAAACAACATGGCACTAGATGAACACATTGCAGTTGCATCATAACTAAATGTATTAATGTCCTGAAATAAATTCATTATTTCCGCAGTATCTTCTTCAGTTTCAGCAGAAAGAGTAGGTGCAGCAGAGGGTACCCGACTAACATTTGCACCCATTCTTTCCGCATATAAATCATACATTCCACATAATGTTTGCTCTAAATTCTTATAGGTGATAGGTGTATCAAGTATTAAAGCTTTATTGATTTGAACAATTACGTATTTAGTTCCCGAAATATTATATCGGGGGTCCATTGTGCATGCTAAAGGAAATAACATAGGCAGTTCTTCCCAATATTTTCTAAACTTTAATTCCATAGCAATTAAAATTTCACTAAAAGTAGGATCATTTTTATATTTATGGAATGTTCTTGCAATTATATAAAGGCGTTCAAGCACCATCCAACTTGTGGAATAATAAACGCCAGATAAAATTTTTGTGGTCTCATAAAAAAATGTCAAAAATCGTTTAACTTTCAAATCTAAAATCCAATTGGATTCATTTAACATACCATCATCATCACTTTTAACATGTCTATTATTATAAAAGTCAATTATTAAATTTTCGAAATCTTCACATGATTTTAATAGCAAGTATGTAGAGTTCCATCTATGACCTACGTCGCTAACAAATGGTTTAGCAGTCATCACCCCTAGTTCGGCACAAAAATCTTCAAATGCTTGTTTTCTACTAGGAGAGATCGTAATATAAACTAATGTATTCTTAATCCTTTGAAGTTCATCCTTTATATGTTTTAAACTATTTTGCACAATTAAATTCAAGATATGACACACACAACGAATATAAAATAAATATCTACCAAAATCAGGTTGAAGTGTCCTACACAATTTATTGACGACTTCCTTATTAACGCTAGCATTATCAAAAGTAAAAGATCGAATTTTACTCTCATAATGATATTCTCTAACAATACTGAAATAGCATTATATATATTATTAGCATTGTGAGGAAATTCAATAATTCTAAAAGCAATAATTTTCTTATGCATGCACCAAAGTGGGTCTATATAGTGTGCGATTGCAGCTATATATGTTCTTTTATTAACCCCTTCCCATATATCAGAAGTTAAGGATATAACACCCCATATTGTTGCAAATTCATAATTAATTGTTGTTTTGAATTATTGAAATAATTTATTGTATCGGCACGAAGAATGTTTCGACTTACCCCAACGTACCTAGGTTGTAGATATTCTTTCACAAACGAGACGAAGTGTTGATTGTCTGCAATAGCCAGAGGTAACTTAGTGGCGGCAACAAATTTCACCATTCCAGTTCGAGTCTCATCCTCCGAATACACCCACGTGGATAGGGGTGAAGTTGTAGAACCGGTGCCTGGACTGCCAAATTGTAATTGTGTTTGACCAGTTGGAAGAAGTACATGTCTGGTTGCACATGATTTGTAGTGGCGGTTAAGATGAGTGGTACCAATTCCTTTTTGCTATGCCAATCTTTGTTGACAGTATTTACATACTGCTTTAGATTCTGCAAGGTCATCAACGACTTTTCCCATTAAAATCAACTTAAAGTGATCCCAACATTTTGCTTGTTTTTTGGCCTTTCGCTTTCCTCTCACATCTGGGATATTTAATTGTTGATCTTCATCTTCATGTTCCGCTTCGGGAACGTTAATATCATCCAAATCAATTGGAGTGTGGCTTCCCTGACCGTGAATGTGAACATCTTCAGGTATCGGTATGTCATTTAGACCGGCAAATTCATTTGAAAATTGATTTTGCGACGTACTAGGCGATTCTCCATGATGTGGCAATGGCTCACATCCTGTATCAAACAAGCTCTCAACAAATGAATGTTGATCAATTTCTGTAATTGTTTATGATGAAATCTTAACTAGATGAATATAAATGTAGTGAGATTGTGAGAATTAAGAATTGGATGAATTGAAATTGTAACTAATAAACTGGAAAAATTGAATTGATATTGTATATTTTGCAGCACAAGAGAGTAAAAACTCGATAATTGATATAATAAAAGAGAGTTGTAATCTTGGAAGAGCAATTGATATGAAATTTTTTTTTTGGAGGAATGGGGTATTTATAGTAAAAAAATTGGGGAGGGGAAAGAAAGGTTCAATGACCAAACGGTCACTGAAAAGTGACCAAAACGGTCACTTTTGTGATCGTTTTGGTCACAGGCTCACGAGCCACGAGCCGAGCGGCTCGTGGCTCGGTATATTACTTCTTCTGGAGTTTTTTTAATTGTTCTGTCTGTTGGCATATTATGATTGAAAGTCATGGCATATTATGATTGAAAGTCTACGGGTGAGGCCCGCTCGGCTGGTGCTCGGGCTCGTGATTTCACGAGCCCGAGCCGCCCACGAGCCTCTTTTCCACGAGCCGAGCCGGCTCAGCCCAATTGAAATCTCTAATTTTAGGGTTTCGAATTGGAATTTCATTCTGGCCAGTGGGTTACGAATTGGGGAAATGAATGAATAGTAGGCCATTTCTTGTTTTAAATAATGGGCCATTTCATCTCCTTTTTTCCTAGATTTTCATCCTGACATTGACAAGATTTTTGTACAATTTCTTCCATTGGGTCAAATCATTTAATGAGGACATGGAGGGTGTTTGAAATTATTTTGAGAGGCAAATATGTCTAAAATTGACATTCTTGCAATGCCCAAAAAAAAGTGACATTTTGTAAATGTCGTGGGAAAATTTGACCACCACTGCAATTTCCTCTTGACAAAATAACATCCATACCAATCATTTCAAAAACAGGTTTTTAAATCATTTGAAATCAATAACCTGAATTTTGCCAACACATCTTTTGTCAACCAATTTTATAAGGAAACTTTGTACAAGTAGAATCATTGTGTAATCGCATGAGGTAGGACTCGCAATAGTAAAAGAGTCATAGCATGATTGGACACAATAGAGAGAGAGAGAGAGAGAGGGGAGGGAAATTAAGACTCCTTTAGAAGAGTTGTAGCAAGATTTTAACCACACCCGGGGCTACAATGTCTGGAGTAGATAATGAGGGTATGAAAACTAGCCCTGAGACCCCATCCTAGCAAGTACGTGCAGGACAATGGAAGCCGAGGTTGGGGTACCTAGCATGAATGAGCCAATCTATCATGGTTTCAGTGATATGACTCATTTGTAAGCGAGCTCCAAAGTCAAGACGTGTCATCATCACCATTCATTCAAAAGCTCTTGTACTTGGAAATAAAATAACACTATCTTATTAAAACTTAACATTCAACTTGTAGATAGGTCAGATTTAGATTTAGTAAACGAATACCTCTTATAAATGCACAATGACAAGTCTATTTGGGTTCAATGGTTCTATTACATATGCCTGCCTCGGACTTCAGAGATAGGGCAGGCGAATTATAAGGCAATTATTAGGTTATTACAATGGGTGACTCGAATTGTTATTTGTATTTAAGGAAGGTCAGAATCTGCGGACTATGTTGGCGGGATTGGGTCCTCTGCCTAAAGACAAAAATCTTTGTTTTTGACTAGGTCTTGCGGCTAGCCGACAATGACCCAGTTAGTTAGTTCCAACCCTCACCATTCATTGCGATTATTTAATTTCAGTTCGACCAAATTGTAAGTCTGTTTTAATAATTCTTCATAAATCTTATATCAATTAATATCATAAAAAGGAAACCGATCTACCCAATTTACGTATTTGAGAAAGGACAATGGAGAACTCAATAATTGCGATATGGCCATGAAAAAGAAAGCTTAAAGTTGGTAGGCAAGTAATGGGTAACTAACAACTGAATCTCTTCCTTTCTTACGTATGTATCTCATCAAGTTGCAGAAAGGCTGCCCTAAATTGCTTAGAAATGACAATCCACCTGAATGTACAAGTCAATGCGATGTTGAACTAACAAACGACACATATGTTTGTGTACAGGCCTATCCTATCCTATCCTATCCTATTTAACTTTCGTTGGATTCTCACATTCAAATTATGCATGTTGTCGTGTTCCAGTGCCTTGTCCGGTAAATTAGGTTTACACAGGTTGGTGTTCTTGAAGCCTTTATGGATGATACTCAGTACCAACTGGAATGGATGAGATTCGATTTTGAGAAGACATGACACCAACGATCAACTCGATGACAATCAAAGTAGTTAATATAACTTGTCTGCTTTAAATACATAACGACATATAAAAGTAGTTAATATGACGCTTTCCATAAAGAAAATACAAGAATAAATCTCGGGTTAACGTGTAACTTGATGGGATCGATCACCATCCCTTCTTTCAATGGCCGAAAGAAGCTAGTAACCTAGGTGTTCCTCATACTATGAACTGGGCAGCATTACTTCAACATTGAACAATCCAATGCTTGTGTTATCCTAGTAGAAGTTGAGATTTGATGTCCCCTCGGCTAGTTCGGCTAATGTGGTTTTGATCTATAATTACATCACCTTGATAAGACAAATAGGAACATCACCTTCTCCATAATTACCTTATTTATTTTGATCTTAATTCGTATAAATTTTTTTTTTTTTTTTTTTTTTAACTAAAGTTATCTTCTACAGGGTGGGTAATTATACTCGGTAATTTTTTAAGATTTACCTGGTTCGTGGAAGGTATTTTCATTAGGAAATGTCAAGAGAAATTAAATATAAAATTACATAACTGTATACTATTATAATTATATTGAAGAATAATAATTACAAGAAATAAATGAAATTACTTCATACGAATATCAGCAATGATATCAAACCAAATTTGTTTGAACACCTTGATAATCAGATCATGATATTCATCAGAATTCAAAGACAGATAACAAGCAAGAAGTTCTTCCAAATCCTTTGATGCTCTGATTTTATTCTCTACAATCATCTCCACCATTGATTCTCTAAAATCCCTCTGTGGATCCTGTGATGATTTCACAACTGCGAAATTCTCCGATGCACTTTTCCATGAGCTTGAACTTGAAGATGATGACACACTTTTCCGTCCGGGAAAATTAGTTCTTCCTATTCTAGGAGAATTCCGGTGCCGGATTTTCATGCCCGGAGAATGCACTGTAGATTTTCTGAAAGAAGTTGTTCTTTGTTGTTTGGAATTGGAATCAGTGCTTAAAGTGTCATCTTTCACGGTCTTCATCACTGACAGGGATTCATATGCATTTCTTTCTTCAAATTTCTCTGAAATTTTAATGTGATTGTCAGTGTCACTGAGTTTGGTGATGATCGGAGGGAGATCGACTTCAGATTTTGCATGGAATGGCTTTTCATCAAGATCAATTATGATATCATTTTGAAATTTGCATTTGCAGGAAGTTGAATCCCGAAACTCTTCCGATGTAGAATCGGGCGGGTTCCGGTAGGGTTCAAGAGTGACCCGGCAGGTGTAACCGGCTGAAACTCTGTTTTTCTTCGTGCTACGTCTCTTCTTGGATGATGATACTCTCGGTGGTTCTGAATAATTCACTGCAGTATATTTGGTTGGAGAATTACCGTGTAATTTGAGGTCTCTTGTAAAATGGTAGGATTTTCTTTGGTCAGATGGGTCCGGCGTCGGCGGCTGTCTTCGTTTGGGCGACATAGGTCGTGGTGCTGCGGCTGTGCCACGGTGGCTTTTCTGGTTTCTGGTTTTGCTCATGTCCTTGAGCTTGTAAAACCAGGCATTTGGTATCATATCTGATAATCTAAACTTGTAACTTCCCATTGAATTCTGAAATTTTTGCAAGTGAAATAGGAGAAAAGAGTTTGTGGGTTTGGGAGTAAAGTGTGATGCATATATAGAGATGTGCGGATCATGAGGCCCACTAAGGAAGAAAAGTTTGCAATTGCATTTGATGGTACTGTGGTGGATCTTGGCATTTTTTTTTATTTTTTTAAAAAAAAAAGCCTAATGGTTTGGTTTCTTGTGACGATGGGTGAGTTCAAAGTGTAATCGAATTGTTCTTGGGAATCCTTGGTTTCTTGTGACGATGGATGAGTTTAAAGTGTAATCGAATTGTTCTTGGGAATCCTTTGACTCCGTTTTTAATGATTTTTGTGAGTCGTGATCATTAGTCATATATATTTTTTATTTGAGCCTTATGATTTGATTTCTTGTGATGATTGATGAATTGAAGGTGTAATCGACTTGTATTAAGAGATTCTTCCACTCCGTCCTTAATGACTTTTGCAAGTCTTGATCACTAGTCAAATATATTGTCTACAAACCCATCTTTGTCCATATAGATTTGCAGAAACACATCGAAAAGTTTCTCATCCTATTCAATTCAATGGAAGATTTCTTTCTTTTTGAAGTATGCTTCTCAATCTTGAAATAGAAGAGAGCAAAAGACTAAAAGGTGTTTTAACAAAGCACTAATGCACTATTACGCTTTATAATAAAATTTTTGATGGAAGACCCCTTCATAACAGGTGGTTATTTGATGCATTAATGAATAAAAAAACTACCACATTAATGCATCAAATAATTACCTACTATGTGTATACCACGTAGAGCGACTACCGCAGTGAGCGATTACGAATAGCAATACTCTAAATTAAATCCCATATATGTTCCAACAAGCATCATTTGTGTGTCCCGGTTTATAGTATTGTTAGCACCAAGGCCAAATCATTTGCTGTTTTCGGCCCCATTCATGGGTTGCTCCCTTTGATAAATTAGGCATCCCAGGCCCAAATCCGGCAAGTCCAAACTTAGAAGGTCCAATAGCTCCAAAATTGCCAAATCCAATAGAAGGTCCAAACTTATTCATTTTCAGCCCATTAGAACGTGATATACTCTCTGTCTTTAGCCCATATGATGATGGCTTGTTTTCATACCCTTTAGACTCAATTCTAGTCGATAGAAGCGCCGACATCTCCACGTCTCCGGCTCTCCTCGTCTTCATCATCACTAATGAGAACATTTTATTATATTGACAAGATATGAGGGACTAAAGGTGCAATTTCATTAGAAATGGCAAATAGGTTGATTATAGTCAGGGCAAGAGATTGGCGAAACGTTTGTTTTTGGTTCATTGAAAGAATTTAATATTTTCTTCCAATTTAATGTTAAGAATTCCATAATTTTCATGAATTAAAAAATAATTGATTCTTTAAATCTTGATATAGTTGCCATTTTTAATGAAAATCATAATATAATAGGCCCCGTTTGGGAGGAATTTTGAGAATTAATTTTTTGACCGTTAGAAGAAAAGTGGGGTTCACATGTGAGAGAAGAAGTCAAAAATTACGACTGAAATAATGAAATAACTGTCAAAAAATCAATTTTTTTGAGGTAAAAAATCCCTCCCAAACAGGCTGTAAGTCATAATTAAAATTTTCTGATTTTTTTTTTCTTCAATTCTATGTTTGACCTGCCAAATTACTCTCACAGCATATCCATGTTTACATTCACCCTATCAAATTGAAATTACATTCTCTAATTCCTTCCATTTTACATTTCCATATATCTAACCTTGAATCCACTCTTCACTATTTGCACAAAACTCAAATCTATCTAGCTTTATTTTATTTTATTTTCCATTTAATTCTAAACCCATCCACACACAAACGATTCTAATTAATCTGACTCTCGTTTCCCTCTCCCAATTTTTCATCGCCATGCATACATATATACTCTCTCTTCTCTTAGTTTTCTGCTGTCCATCAAATAATTGTCCGATTCTTTATTATTTGACCAGATTTCCAAATTTGACTAATGTATTACAAACTTAGGAAAAATAGAATCGTGCTAGACGAATATGGCCACATCGGCCTTGTTTGAATGGGGGACAATGTGGCGCCCTTGTTACTTTACTCGAAAAAATAATCAAAGTCTGACCGTGTTTTATTCTATATCTTGCATTGATTTCTCTTCCCTGGTCTCTATGGTATATTTCTCTTATTTTCATATTTTTTTAAGGCTTGTGTGGTGCATTACAGTTCGAAGCCTAGATAAGTACGTTGTCTAATTCGATAAAATTAAAAAGTTATAAAGAAATCAAGTAGTAGGAAAATGGTTCTTTGTGCATATTGCAAAAATGTACTCAATGAAATTAATATTGAAGATATTATAATTAACATGGTAGGAGATTTAATAATATATTTTTGTCTTTTAAATAATTTTGTACCTTCATATTTGTCTTCTTTAAATTGTTAAAATTAGTAACGCTAAGTTTCAAAATTAGAAAAATATTGACGTTTTGGGCTGACAAGAATAGGCCTGAGATTCACAAAATAAATGAGGTATACTTGGATTGTAAGCTTAGATGGACCAAATGTCGAGTCCAACTCATTGCCCAAAGTGACATAGTAGGAGGCTACGAGCCCATTTTATCTTTAGTAGAAAAATTTCTACACACTATTCTTGACTACCCATTAAAACCAAATGCAATATTTTATAAAGATTCTTGCATTAATATTCTTTGTAACTATTAAAAGATGTTGTATCTGGAGTATTAATTTTTCCTTCAAACAATATAAATATACTTACACTGTCAAATATTTAGAACGAGATTGAGCAAGAATGAAATCGAAACAATTTAGTCAGTAGGTTCCAAATCAGTAATATAATCGATATGATCAAACGGGAACTAATCGCAGACACATTTATAATTCGAGCAACCGACTTCACAATATGTCCTTAGGATGATGTCGCTTCATTCTTTGGTGTTTAAAGGCATTTAGCAACTGTTTCTCACAATAGAATAAATTGAGTCTCTTAGTAAGAATTTCAACGAACTCAATATTGTACTTTAACAAATAAGTACATCATGTTAATCATCTCGTAGAGGAAGTTGTGAATATACTTGGTTCAATTAATTTTCGAAGTTCAGACCCACATAAAATTAAGTTCAAAATAGCTCACTTGAAAACTATATCCAACAAAATTTTCTTGTTTATAATGTAGTATCGTTCTAAAGATTATTGTTTATAATTACAATTAAAAAAGGAAGCGATAGACTAAAACTATATTTGTCTATTGTGGTTGATGATGGTCTAATTGTTTTAGTTTTTTTTCTTTCATGGACTTCCATTAAAATAATTAATTTGTTTCCGTCTACTTTTCTTATGTTTCCCAGATGACTACATAAAAGGTTTAAAAAATAATTAATTCAATCAATTATTTTCATGTAATAAATGGCATGGCGTCATTGAGAGAAATACTACGTAAAATGGCCGGTGGCCCTATGGCATCTGATCAACTAGCTACAATTGACTTAGGAAACTTGTGCACTAAGATTAAAAAATGAAGTTTGATCAATTTATAATTTTTAAAAAAAATTATCAAATAGGGATTAAATTTTTCTGAGCTTTCATTTTTCTCATCGTCTTTGAATGAGATAATTTTTATTTTGTTATTTTTTTGGGTGTATTTTTAGCTGAAGATTAGCTAAGTCCCCTAGGAGTTTTCTATATTCGTGATACATGTTTTGTTTATTTCAGTATAATTTTAGATATTTCATTTGAATTTTGCTACTCAAACAGAGATCTTTGACAAGTCCTATGACAGGGGTTGAGGTGTGATTTGAAATTTGAATTTTCGGATCAAGGGTTGAGGGGATGACCACCTTAGCGTCACCACCTCAGTCCTGTCATAGGCCCCTATTTGTGTAGCAGGGTTAATTTCATTTTGGCCATTTTCATTAGGCTGATGATTAAATTGACACTGACCCAATTTTGAGTATATGATTTGTTTCTTATTTCTTGAATATAATATGCTATCCGAGCTTCAATTTTTAAAATACATTTCAATCATATTTTTTAGATAAAAATAAATTTATACTTTAAATAAAAAAATCCTACTTTTAACCATACATTCTCCAAATTTTTACGAAGTGTAATTCTAAAAAATTGCTCAAACAAGGAGAGTTACAAGGGAGATTTATAGGTAGCTATGAATAATCCCGAAACCTCAGTACTTTTGACTTGTCGACGCATTTTGAACTTTTACCAAATATTTTATTCTCTTACGTTTTTTGCCAATGATAAATAAGAGTTATAAATTTGTTTGTATGTATTAGCTGTTTTTTGTTAACTGTTACGCCTCTATTTGAACCACTTCGAAATTTTCACCACTACACCATACGAGGTGCCCACCACCAACCCAAAGTGTTTCCGAAGCGACCCCTTCCATCGAAACAATCCTACCGAACCGGCTGAAGCGCAATGCACTCCAAGGTTCTCCTTCCGCCGCCACTTTCAGAAAGAGATCTGTGTCAAGATCCTGTTTGCCCCCAAGGCTTAATTGATTTGACATCTCCAAAGATCTAGTTGATATGACGTATCAACTTTATGTCAACTCAACTCAGGAGAAGTTATTACCCGCCCACTCTATAGACGCAACTGATTGACGTATGAGCAGACGCTTCACACCATCAGATGCATACATGTGTACCACATCCAACGGTTCTCCTTATCTATAAATACCCAAGGTTTGACAAGAGGCAAAGGTAATGAAACTCTTGCAACTTAGCTCTCTATAACAAGAACATATATATAATTTCCTCCCCACTCTCTTGCACAACCCGGGTACTATTATGATCACCGATTACTAATTTGACCGTCGGAGTGTATGCGGCCGCCGCCACCACCCCAGTTGGTTCCGGGCGTGTGATTTTGACCGTGTATTTATTGTGCGCATGGAGGATCATGTGGAGTAGCTATCGGTTTACCACATAAGAGGCCCAATTCACGAGATCAATAGATTGGCACCATCTATGGGAAACTTCCCAACCAAAGTTCTACATTCTCCACCGAAAAAGTCATTGACTTAACCTGAAAAGGGCACGTTATTGAAAAAGAACAAAGTCGAATTACAATCCAAATTCTTATCACTCTTGAAAAATGAGTAGATAAGATGAGTTCC